CTAAGTGTGACGCTAATGACCTACTCAAGAAAGTGGGAGTCAAGTTATTATTTTTACTTCAAAATTGAAAAGTTACACTTTGGTTAAATAGTTGAAATAATTTTTAAAGGAAATTTTATATTCGACCGAATGAATTCAGTGCTATTATTAACGCTTGCTATTATAAGCATTTAGTACAGTCGGGTTTCTACTAATGTCATTAGACCAATGGGAAACTACGCTAAAGTATCTTAATTATACCGAAAGTTTCTGCTAGTAAAAAAATAAACCATTAATAAACTTGAAACAAAGGGAACACAAACAATTTACCCTTTCAACACGGCCAATGACGCGTCGTCTAAGAAAATGTTAACTCATTGCAGCTAATATAAAACGGAATGTTTGGGCGCCAAAGAATTCCCAAAAATACCTCGAAATCATGCATAAAACGGTATCGATCTACTTTTTAATTGCTGTTTAAAAATGATATAGGATTAGTAACTTTAAAGCGAGCAATCCTTTGACTAAACTATCGCACGACTGTTAAGTCACGCTTTGATTCCTATGAGTTTATATGTATAGAGGTACACTACTCGAGTTTCACTTGTGTAACTAAACATTTAAATTTACTGCGAAACAATTGACAATCGCAAAACAGTCTTACAAAAAGGAACTCCCTAGTGATATAAGGATTAGGCAATAAAAAAAAGAAAAGGTAAACAAACTGTGCAAAAAAGAGTACGGACCAAGAGTATGTAGAAGTTGATAAAAAAAACAGTTTTGTATTTTAATTAACTTGTGGAATTTAATTGTTAGTTTATTTAGTCGAGTTCACGAATTTTTTTAGTACAAAAAACTAATACATCTCCATGTATATCTTTTTTTTTCACTCTGTATATTTCAACGTAAAATTCTAAACATCGCTATTTTTGCATTTGAAAAACCTTTTGCCGTTGGAAAGTTATCACTAACATAAGGTATACTTTACATTGACGGAAAGGGTATGGATATGACAGAAAATATACGAGATGAATCTTTGTCACCCAGATGAAGCAGGAGTCGGATAGCTAGTAAAACATAAAAGTAAACAACTGAATTTACACATTGTGAAAACAACATGAACTTGAAAGTGTTTGCAGTCTACGAGTCTAAGCACACGAGTGCCATCTCAGGGGAAATTTCCTTATGCTCATATAAACAAGTATTGAAGCAATGTTTTAGAGTCATCATTATTTTGCTATGAATTAAATACTGACCCAGAGTGTCTCGTTACTTTTTAATACACTAAATTTTTGTCTAAATAGTTTTATGGAAACTCCGTCTAAAACGATTTTATACAAAGCAATTGTTATTAATAACTAATCTTACAAAAACATCATACATAAATTGAATACTAAAATTTAACGCCTGACAAAAAAATATGTAATTTTTTTTAAACGGGTGAAGTTGTAAAATATATCGATTAAGATTTCTATTTTTTGTCTTTTCTCTGTCGCTGAATATATCACCTACTAACACCGAACGCACCGCATCTGCTCAGTAATTTAAGACACGTGACGTCACTAGGCCATCTGCAAAACTTCTATGCACAAGTAATATGACTGTTGAATTGGTGGATTGTAAAGTATAAGAGTCAGTCCTACCAAATTCTTGTAAATTGTTAGACAATCTAACTTGTAAAATATGTGATAGAAACATCAGATTTTGTTACTTTATCTGACAGTGACATTTTAAGCTATCTGAGTCTCAATAAGCCAGTGGTGGGACAGGCCCTTAGTGTACAAAATTGGTATACGGAATTAATACAATTATTCACATCAAAGAAATTTAAAGACAGATCCAACGAAATGTAATACAAACAACGTTTGTTTTGTTATCAAAGTACGTAATTTGTTCTAGCTTTCGCCCGCCACTCCTTCCACGTGGTATTAAAAAAACCAAAACCCAGTAGCCTATATATTCTTCCAGACTATTCTCTACGTCTCTGCCAAATTACATTGAGATCCGTTCAGCAGTTTAGGCTACAAACTCTAACAAACACCCATCCATCCTAATTTTCACATATGTAGTATGAAGTATGACTAATATGTTTTATCTTTGTTGTAATAAAAATAAACATCGGACGAATATAAAGAGATTTACAAAGGAACATTCCAGAACATTCCATCGTGACTTTTAAATTAGCTAAAAAACCGACCGACCTTGGAACAGATTTGTTTACATGCCATTTTTGTTATTAAAAATGATTAGTCATGTACATTTAAAACTAGGGGATAAGCCTTTTCTATAGTCAACATTGCTACGTAGCTCTTGATAAGGCATTCACTATTAAGCTTGTCGCAATGAATCCCTCTTTTGGTATTATAAATGTTTATTTTAAGACTACTTATCTATATTATAAAGAGGAAAGATTTTTATTTTTGTATGTATTGAAATAACTCAAAAACTACTGGGCTGATTTTAAAAAATCTTTTACCGTTAGAAAGGTGATTTAGCTGTGAATAATATAGGCTATTTTTTGATTTCACGCGGGTGAATTCGCGAGCAACAGCTAGTAAAATAAATATAAGAAACAAATGAATGCCTCTATTACACAACATAAAAAAAAATAATAATACTTGCTCTTAAAATCGGTTAAAATGAATTATTTTGACAGATGAGGAATTATATTTCCTACCCAATTCGGTGAAAGCCAAAAACATTATTACAGGAAGTGCTATAGCATTGAGAAGAATGAATGTTGGCTACAAAGGAAGAGGAAGACCGAAGAAAGTATGGATGGATTGTGTGAAAGAGGATATGCTTAAGAAAGGAGTGGATTCAGATATGACGGCTGATGGGGATGTATGGAAGAGCAGCACATACTGTGCCGACCCTCCATAAGGGATAAGAGCAAGTTGATGATGATGACCTAATTCGGTGAAATATGGGTGGAATATTATAGTAAAGTACAAGTGCTTAACTATAGTTCTTATAGTTAGATGTGAATTAAATTCTTTGACAGTCAGAAACAAAAAAAATACCCCGCCATAAGACAAGCGCCCGATTCAAGACTAAACAGTTTTATGAGCAAAGATATTTTTTTGTTGTTGATATCACAATTACTAATACTGTTATCAAATTAAATCACTAATCGCTTACTAACGTTAGTGACGTATCCGATTGTATGGTTGTCACACTATATAAGCGTGTTTTTCATTAATCTGATAATAATAAACGGGGTGTAACATTCTTATCAAAGGTTAAGTATTTCGTTTCGTTTGTTATAATATCAAAATAAACAGACAATCCTCTTTTTTCGTGTCGTAATTGATATGAAATGTTTATCAAAATGTTATCATTCAAAATAATGAACGGTTTTCACACTATAAACTCGTGGTTTTCATCAATATGTATACATTGTATGACGATAGATGATGCTACAGTTTCTGTTCGTGTTGTTATGAGGTTCTTTTAATTATAAATTAGCTATCGCCCGCGACTCCGCCCGCGTAGAATTAAAAAAAAGTGAGTAGCCTGTGTTCTTCCAGACTATTGTCTACATCTACACCGAATGTCATCAAAATCCGTTCAGCCTTTTAGGCTACAAACATCCATCTATCCATCTCAACTGTCGTATGATATTAGTTATTTTTTTCTTTATGTAATCATCAATGGATATACTGAAGAACCTATAGAGGTAGACCTAGAAAGAGATGGATGGATTGCGTGAAAGGTGAGATGATTAAGAAGGGAGTGATGACTGAGATGACATATAATAGAATTATACACAAAAACCAGTTGCGCCGACCCTACGGGAGTTGGATACGGAGGAAGATGATGATATTATGTACTAAAGAAGAAGTTTGGATCTTTTGCTAGCCAAGAAAGAGGTATTTCTTCTCTTTACAAGAACTTGGCATTTCTCCAAAATATGCTACGTTGAATTAAATTTAAATAACCACAAAAAGATGTATAAAACAATCGGTGGAGTAAACATCGCATAATGTAACATTTTTAAAGATGTTAGAGCCTCTAACGAAAGGTATGAATCGGCTCAATGATCGTAATACTAATCTTCAACATGGCATCAACAAGATTGTTCCTCCTTTTACTGATGAATATGTGTCGGAGATTCAATTGCAGAACTTTTTTCCTTTACTCCTTTTTTCTATAAAATGTATTAGCGACGTTCTTATGGGTTTAAAACCTGCTCCAAAATCGGAATCTCATCTAAATACTAGCTCGTTTTGAAGTTAATGAGGAATATGTACTATAATTAACCTAATTTTGAAACTTGATCTTGTATGCAAAAAAATGAATTCTGACATGAATCATAGCAAACTAATTTGAACTATGTTTATAGTTTAAATTCGTTTTTTTTAGGTTAAATAATACTGTAGCCAAATCTACTTAGTGTTTTAACCTATGAAGTATCTCGCACACGTAAATCTTATTTTTAATCTAATACTAATTTTAAAAAATGTTTTAAGTACTAAACCGGTGTAGTTAAAAAAAAAAAACTATTTTGAAAGGTTAATGTAAGTAGTTTTCGAAGATTTTTTTGATCCAAGAATGCCTCTTAGGCTTAAGGGACAGATCTACAAGTCCATCATAAGACCTGTCGTATTGTATGGATCTGAATGTTGGCCCACCAAAGTTGCGGATGAAAAGAGATTGCATGTGGCTGAGATGCGTATGTTAAGATGGATGTGTGGTGTGACAAGAATGGATAAAGTTAAGAATGTGTACATTAGAGGAAGTTTGAAAGTAGCGCCAGTGGTGGAGAAATTGAGAAGCAAAAGGTTAGCGTGGTATGGACATGTTATGCGACGAAATGATGGGGACATAAACCAGAAAGTGTTAAGATTGAATGTGGATGGCTACAAAGGAAGAGGAAGACCGAAGAAAGTATGGATGGATTGTGTGAAAGAGGATATGCTTAAGAAAGGAGTGGATTCAGATATGACGGCTGATAGAGATGTATGGAAGAGCAGCACATACTGTGCCGACCCTCCATAAGGGATAAGGGCAAGTGGATGATGAATGTAAGTAGTTTTCGTCGATCGTAATATACTCATCTATACAACTAATGGTCATAACATTTATATTTGGCAGATGAAATGGCAAAACAGCTATCTGGTAATCAATAGTTTGCAGATAGCCTAATATATTTAAAGCGTCGCGCGAGGCCTCCACAGTTAGTGTTCGCCACCAACAGCTTCTAGTAACCTAATCTGCGGACGTTTTGGCTTCCGAAGATTAACAAGTAAGAAATATGATTTTCGCCCTATTCATTTTGAGGTGTATTAGGTAGGTATATAGGTGTATTGGAAAAAACGTGGCATAACATTCCACCCGAAAAGCAAAGTTTTTGGCCCCATGGGAGAGTTCGTAACTTCAAATCGACCGCTGTTTGAAATCTATAACGACATTTATAAAATGTATCCCGATGAACCTGTAGTCGCTGTTGGTTCTTTGTTCAACCCTGCGCTTTTTGTCAAGGACCCAGTCAACTATCAGGTTTTAAGTGCAGATTTCAATTCATTCAGTCACAGAGGATTTGATATCAATGAAGGAGATTTACTCGCAGACAACGTTGTCTTTATGAATGGTGACAGATGGAAGCTGATGCGACAGAAAATGACTCCACTGTTTACTGCGACTAAATTGAAAAGCATGTATTACTTGATGGATCGCAGTGCACAAGATTTTGTTGAATATTTAAATAAGAGACCGGAACTGTTAAAGGGGAATGCTTTCAATACTCTTTTCACTTTTTCCAATGCCGCTGTAGGAGCCGCCGTATTTGGGATTGAAAATGAATCGATATTTGAGTCACCTTTTCTTAAGATGGCTCTTGACGCCTTCAGACCGACCTTTAAGTTTAACTTGACTTTTGCAATCGGATCATTGAATGCAAAGCTTTTTAAGCTATTAAGGTTGAAAATGTTCAAAGAACACGAAGAATTGTTCATTCCAGCTATAAAAGAAGTGATACGTAAACGAGAGGAATTAAATGTGCAAAATGTGCAACATGACTTTGCAGATTTGTGTGTTAATTTAAAAAGTAAAGGTACAATGAAAGACCACGATTCGGGTTTAGAATTACAACCGACTGATGAATTATTGGCCGCTCAAGCATTCTTTTTCTATATTGCCGGAGTGGAACCTACGGGCACGGCCATGTTTAATATTTTAATAGAGCTTGGCCGTAATCCTGATTCGTTAAAACGCCTACACCAAGAAATCGATAATTCATTTGAGAAATATAGTAACGAGATGACGTATGATGCCATCCAGGAAATGGAATATTTAGACATGGTGCACGATGAATCGTTAAGGATGCATCCTCCCATAGGATATTTAACAAGACAATGTGTTAAGGATACTGTCCTGCCGGTTGGTAATATAAAAGTTGAAAAGGGAACGAAGATATTTACACCAATATATGCAATCCACCATGACCCAAAGCTTTACTCGAATCCAGAAGTATTCAATCCAGAGAGACTTTCTCGTGAAAATTCAAAAAATATAAATAATCACATGTTCATGCCATTCGGCGAAGGAAAGAGATTATGCATTGGTGTAAGATACGCTACTCTACAAGCAAAAGCAGGTTTAGTTCACTTACTTCGACACTTTACTGTTAAAACCCACATCAAAGAACCAGGAATTAAATACAGTAAGCAAACTATACAAGTCAGACCTGTTAATGTAGACGTTGAATTTATACCTCGAAACCACTGATTTGTATAAATGGATAGGTCTGAAATGTGAGCTATTACTTCGTTCTCAATAAATGCTTAGTATTAAATTCTCATCAAGGTCATCAACAGTGACTCTCAATGCCAAGATGGCGAATCAATTAACAGGTTACCTGTCGTACTATACGGACAAAATTATAGCTCTTTTAGTTAGTTTGTAAGTGGGGTCTGAATTTATTTTTTTGACTGTGCATTTTAAAATCAACTTTGTTAAAAGCTATGTTACTAATTATATGTATTGTATGAATAATTCTTGTATGAAAAAATCTTTATCATTGTTGTTTTTATGAACCTATTCACTCGTATATGCTTTATCCAGTATACATTTCATGTGTGCCGATGATCAAGGGGTTTGTACAAAAACTTTTTTATTCTAAAGAGAATATGCCGATAAGCATGGGGTCAATTCATTCATGAAATCTAATAAGTCATTTTTAACTTATCTATGTAGGTCTCTACGGATTTGATCGCTATCTGCTATAATGCCTTCTGTAAAAAAATAGCAAAACATTTTTTTTGCAAAGTTGTTGTTTATGTCCATTTGATTTTTATCTCCTAAGGCTATATAGTTTTTTTTTTTCATTTATTTGGGTAAAAGAACAATAGCACAAGAAAAAAAAATATATACAGTACAATTCAAAAGTGTTCAGTGGATGTGCCATCCACAACTTTACCACATAGTAACTATAATAATAAAATAAATCTATAAATAGGCTATACATTCGAGTGGTACTTAATGATATATTAATAATATTGATAGTTCAAAGTTTTAATAATCTCTATTTTAAGGTTATTTTTAGTTACATGTATGATATCTATATCATTAAAATTGGTATTATAAGAATTAACAATTCGATTAAGTGGTGATCGCAAGCCCGCATTAGTTCGAGACCAGTTTGTTGAAAAAAGTTTTGAAACATTTCTGGGATGAGCCCTTGTGGGGACTCTGTACGATATTCTTCTGGTTAAACAGATGCAGTCGTACCTATTATGGCACAGATAGTTGATTGTGTTCAAACATTGTGTTGGAATCCTTTTCATCCGGTGGCTATTATAGGGGTAGGTTAGTAAGAACTGTCCGATAGGTTTTGTTTTTTGTAAGGTTATGAAAATATTTGGTAGTTTTTTTTTCTAATAAATTTTGTAAACTTATATTTTAACGCTTCGTGAGCTGCTATGTGATATTATGTCTTAAATTAGAGGTTTGAAAGCTGAGTTTTTTAATAATTTGTATTAAATCAAAGTAATTAAATTAAAGGTTCTATTTAAAGTTAAGTAAGGCGTTTTTTTAATCAAATCAAATTTTGTCTGATGAAGTTTAACTAATCAAATTTATTCTTAAAACCTCTTTTCGGCTGATTGTTATTATTTTTTAAGTTCTTAATATTTTGATGTAGCAAATTGTTGAACTGAAATATTTGTTGACTTAATTTTCAGGCGCTTTAAAGAGTATAAACTATTTGTCTGTTAGGCCGAGAATGGATATGCAAGTAGCTGGCACCCTTGCATACCAGCTACTGTCTGTCATGTGGGAAAGAGACAAAAACAAGCCAATAGCAGCAAAGAAGCAAGATTGCCATGTTAACGGTATTATTATACAATGTCAAAGACCTTACTTGTCATTTGTGCATTAAAGTTTTGATTGCAATTGAAAATTTCACAAATGTAAACAGTAAAATATTCATAATTTCATACGGACGAAGCCGCACGGGAACAGCTAGTGTTCTACGTTATTTATCTCTAAATAAATTTATCGAGCAATGATTTATCTTTTATTAATAAAAATAATTAATGAAAATAAAGATTTATTGCGTCTAAGTTCATTTATTTGTAGGCATTTCCGGTTAAATTGTCAAATCATTCAAATGACATAAAATCATGAAGATAACTCGTGATAATTAATACTTTAAAAATAAATTTAAAGTGATACATTGTCTGTCTTCTATCTGAATATAATTAATAGGTATGTATATAAAAAGTAAACTGTTTGTCTGTCCGATATATCTAATAAGGCTAAAATCATACAATTTCGCATAAATATTTGATACCCAATAACGAAATTAATTCCCTAAAGGTCTAAAAACTTATTTTTTTATTCTTGTTAAATGTTTAAAGGTAGGGTTTAATTATTTTTCCTGTTTACCACAAAATGTAGTAACGGACACTAGTTTGGAAGCCAAGGTGTCCAAAAATTGTTCAAATGAGTGTCATAAGAGAGAGATTGTTTATTTATTTACTTAAAGGTGACTAAGAAACGGGTGCAAGTTTGTATAAAAGTTATAAGACCACTTGGGCGAAGTTTCAGGGAACAGCTATTGTTTTTTTTTAATTTATTTGATGTAAGGTAAAGATATAAATTTATTAGCGTTACGTTAGGTCATCCTGGCTCTGTTCTTGAGATCAGGTTGATGGCGAGTGGACGCCGCGGCGAGGAGTAAACTAATGTGCGTTGACCTGTATTCTTCGCTTCATCGGTGAGTGAGGAAGGAAGAAAGGAATCCATTATAGGAAAATCCTGAACTGAAAATTACTAGTACTTAATGGTAGTATTTACGATTATATTAGGCAAACCGCTCGCTTGTGCACCGCGTTATATATAAAATAGTAACTCACTTGTACGTTATATCTCTAAAAGCAGATAAACCCTGTGGTGGCAACTAGTGGGTGATATTCTTAAGATAACTAAATATATATTTAAAGCGCCGCGCTTTCAACTCAGTAGTTACTTTAATTTGCCACTGAAATAGTGTTCAAGTGTCTCCCTGATTGGCGTCCGTGGTAATCGAAGTAAGAAAAATGATTCTGACAACACTTATAGCTATCGGTGCTTTGTCTGCAATTTACTATTTAATTGGAAGTTACAATGAGACGTACTGGAAAAAACGTGGAATAACATTCTACAGTAAGAACAAAGTTTTTGGTCCGATGGGAGAGTTCGTAACATCAAATCGAGCGCTGTTTGAAATTTTTAGTAACATCTATAAAATGTATCCAAACGAACCTGTTGTTGCAGTGGGTAATTTGCTTACTCCTGGTCTTTATGTCAAAGATTTAACCAACCTAAATCACGTTTTAAATGTAGATTTCAATTCATTCAGTCACAGAGGATTTGAGGTAAATGAAGGCGATCAACTTGCCGATAATGTTCTCTTTATGAACGGTAACAGATGGAAGTTGATGCGTCAAAATATGACACCTCTGTTTACATCCACTAAATTAAAGAGCATGTTTTATATACTAGATCGTAGTGCAATGGATTTTGTACAATACTTAAAGGATAAACCGGAACTTTTACAGAAGGACACATACCAAACTCTTACCACTTTTTGCAGTGCTGCTATCGGAGCTTCTGTCTTCGGTATAGAAAATGAATCTGTTTTTGACTCACCTTTTCTTGAAATGGCAAACAAGGCCTTTGCACCCACATTTAAGCTTAACTTCCTGATTGCTATTGCCACCGTGAACGAGAAATTGTTTAAGCTGTTAAGAGTAAAATTGTTTAAAGATCATGAAGACTTCTTCATTGGAGCTATAAAGCAAGTGATTCGAAAAAGACAATCAGAAAACGTCAAAAAACACGATTTCGCAGATTTATGTGTTGGTTTGATAAATAAGGGTGCGTTAAAAGATGATGACACAGGTTTAGAAATACAACCTACTGATGAAATATTAGCAGCTCAAGCGTTCTTTTTCTTCGTCGCCGGAGTAGAACCCAGTGCCACAGCTATGTTCGCTATATTAGTAGAGTTGGGTAGGAATCCGGAACCACTTAAACGCCTTCATGAAGAAATCGATAGTACATTCGATAAATATAATAAAATAACATATGATATCCTCACCGAAATGGAATATCTAGACATGGTGTACAATGAAGGAATAAGAATGTATCCGCCAATAGGAACCTTAGTAAGGAAATGCATAAAGGATACTGTACTACCAACTGGTAATCTAAAAGTTGAAGCTGGAACGAAGGTATTTACCCCAATATTTGAAATCCACCATGACCCAAAATATTACCCGGATCCTGAAGTTTTTAACCCTGAGAGATTTTCACGTGAAAATTTAAAGAACTTGAATAGTAATGCGTTTATGCCTTTCGGTGAAGGTAAGAGATTGTGCATTGGTGTCAGATATGCGACTTTACAAGTGAAAGCTGGTTTAGTTCATTTACTTCGTCACTTTACTGTAAAAACACAAATTGGTGAAGGCGGAATCAAATATCTAAAGCAGAATGTACAAGTAAGGCCGACGAACATAAATGTTCAACTTTTACCAAGAGATATGACTAAAAGTATATAAAGCTGGTTTAAATGAACACCAACTGCTATCAATACTTTTTGTGTAACGGGATTCGGATTTTTAAAGCGTTTTATGTAGGTGAAGAAATTAATATAATTAGAGATTATTTTTTTTTATTGTAATTTCATTATTATATATGATTCGTTTATAATTGTGTTTTGGAATTTTTTTAATTTACGGTATTGTATTGTATGAATATACTTCATTTTGTAATCATTACCTTTATATCCCACTGCACTGTAGTTGCAGTCTGAAAATCATTTGTTACTTTCAGTAACCTATCCTCAACACAAGGAGGTCCTTGTATGGAACTCAAGCTCCGACAAAAATTGTTATCCTTTGTGTTGTTACGTTGAACATATGTCGATGTGTTCCTTATAAGGTATAGATTTCAATGATAATATAAAATGAAAATAAAAATCTTATTATTGTTGTCATTAATGAACTGTATTCTTATTTTTGAGAATACAGTTTCTTATGAGCTAAGCAACTTTAACCAGGCGTATCTCAAAACTTATTTAGTGTGATCACATTGAACTATGAATAATTAACTTTAATGTTAAAACCTCTTTTCTGATGCCTGCCATTTTTTATACCGGTTATATACTTCAGTTTCAAAACTTTAGGTTTCTAAATATTTTAATTTGATCTAGTAAATAGTTGGACAGCAATATTTATTTTCTAAATTTGCAGGCGCTCAAAGAATGTGAACTATTTGTTTATGAAATGAAAAAAAATATGAATCCATTGGAAAAAGGGACATCAATTCTATAATGTTTGAAACAAAATTTAACTTTGATATAATACTCTATCCAGTAAAGATAGCGAATCTTAAACTGAACAGTTAATGTGGTACTACAAAAATACCCTTTTATATTCGTTGAAGCATCTACATTAAAATATATGCATATTTACATTATAATTTCTTTAAATCTATTACAATCACATATTTTCTCATTGATACCTTGCGGTTTTCTTCTTTTTCCCTACATTTTTTTCATATTCAAATAAGCAAAAATCTTGGTGGCCAGTTTACCTCTTTGGCTGTGTACAAACTCCTTGTTATCCAAAGAGATTGAATTCTGCGCTAAACACTACGGTAGCTCTACAGGTAGTGTTCATGATAATGTTAAGTAAATTGCATGTTCGTTAGCCACTTTTTATAGAAAAATCCATTTGATTAAATTGTGTTTTATATCTCTAAAGCCAGATAATCGTTGTGGTGGTTACTTGATACTGAAGATAACAGAACAAGTATTTATAGCACCGCGGTATGCATACGCACCAGTTATTTTCTATTTGCCAGGGAGACTGTATTTTTTACAAGTCCAGTTATTACTTGGCGTACGTGAATATAAATGTAAGGAAAATGATTCTGACAACATTTATAATTATTGGTGCTTTGTCTGTTATTTACTATTTAATTGGAATTTACAATGAGACGTACTGGAAAAAACGAGGCATAAAATTCTACAGTAAGAACAAAGTTTTTGGCCCCATGGGAGAGTTCGTAACTTCAAGTCGAGCGCTATTTGAAATTTTTAATGATGTTTATAAAATGTACCCCGACGAACCTGTTGTCGCAGTAGGTAATTTTCTTACTCCCGCACTTTACGTCAAGGATGTAACCAACGTAAACCACGTTTTAAATGTAGATTTCAATTCATTCAGTCACAGAGGATTTGATATTAATGAGGGAGATTTACTCGCAGACAATGTTGTCTTCATGAACGGTAATAGATGGAAATTGATGCGTCAAAATATGACACCTCTTTTTACGTCCACCAAATTAAAGAGCATGTATTATATACTAGATCGTAGTGCATTGGATTTTGTGGAATATTTAAAGATGAGACCGGAACTGTTACAGAAGGATACTTTCAAAACTGTTAGCACATTTTGCTGTGCTGCTATCGGAGCTTCTGTCTTCGGTATAGAAAATGAATCAGTTTTTGACTCACCTTTTCTTGCAATGGCAAATAAGGCCTTTGCACCTACATTTAGGATTAACTTTCTGGTTGCCGTTGCCAGTATGAACCAGAAATTGTTTAAACTGTTACGAGTAAAATTATTTAAAGATCACGAAGAATTCTTCATTGGAGCTATAAGGCAAGTGATTCGAAAAAGACAATCAGAAAACGTTAAGAAACACGATTTCGCAGATTTGTGTGTTGGTTTGATAAATAAGGGTGCGTTAAAAGATCATGACACAGGTTTAGAAATACAAGCTACTGAGGAAATATTGGCAGCTCAAGCGTTCTTCTTCTTCGTCGCTGGAGTAGAACCCAGTGCCACAGCTTTGTACGGTTTATTAGTTGAGTTAGGCAGGAACCCGGAACCACTGAAACGCCTTCATGAAGAAATCGACAATGCATTCGAGAAATATGATAAGATGACATATGATACCATTACCGAAATGGAATATTTGGACATGGTGTTCAATGAAGCATTAAGAATGTATCCGCCTATAGGGAACTTGATACGACAATGTATTAAGGACACTGTATTACCATCTGGAAATATTAAAGTCGAATCTGGAACAAAAATATTTACTCCACTATATGAAATTCATCGTGATCCAAAAATTTACCCGGATCCTGATGTTTTTAACCCTGAGAGATTTTCACGTGAAAATGCAAAGAACATAAATAGTAATGCGTTTATACCTTTCGGCGAAGGTAAGAGATTGTGCATTGGTGTCAGATATGCGACTCTACAAGTAAAATCTGGTTTAGTTCACTTGCTGCGTCACTTTACTGTAAAAACACACATTGGTAAAGGTGGAATTAAATACCAAAAACAGAATATACAAGTAAGGCCAACTAACATAGACGTTCAAATTATACCAAGAGATTCGCGTAAAAATAAGTAAAGTTGATTTAAACTAACGGAAACTTCTGTCAATGGTTAATATGTTATAGAATACGAATTTTAAATAGTTAAAAGTATTTTTTTTTATTAATTTAATTACTATTATGTTGTGATATAACTTATGCATATCTGTTTGGTTAACAGTTCAATATTATGTATTATACGTTTATAATAAATTGTGTTGGGAGTTTTGAAATTCAAATGGTTTCATTGTATAAAGGTTTTTATCATAACCTTTACTGTCCCCAACAGAAATCTGTGTCTGCTGCAGCGATCTAACCTAATCTTTACCATTGATTCTTCAACAAATATATCATCGTTTTTCACAAGTATGCGTTCTCTGTAAAATGAAAACAGAGATTCCTTTTATTAAATAACAGCTCACATACTTGGTCAGAAGGCAGTGTTTAAAGCTTTTAGATATTTTGATATATCTTAGATAATTTTGGTGCATTTGTCACTTGTGTGTATGTATTTGTACTTACTAAGTGTGTAGGAATCCTACGTATATTTAATACACCGTCAATACTTCTTTATTGTTTATTCAACGTTTGTGCAATCTGCAAGCCTTTAAAAACATGAAATTATAGTTTTCTCCAAGCAGTTATATGACCAAAGCTGAAGAATTACTTGAGACAAAAAAGTCAGGAAGCTGATTTGAAACATCAACTTTGCATTCGAGAGACCGATTAGTAATCTGGGAAGATAGTTATAGAATATTTAAGCTACGAATCAAAACAAATAAATGAATGTTTTAATATATGTACGGTAAATCTGATAAATTGAAAATTATTAATATAATTTTCGATTATTATTGAGTAAGAGTGAATAATTGAAAATTATCAATAATAATACCGTGACACATATACCTATAATATTACAAGGAGAAAAGACAATGAATAAACCGAAAGGTAAAGGTATATATGTGATGTTAAATAAATTACCCATTTAATTTTGATTATATTTTCATGTTTGCTTGTTTCATTTGATAAACTTTGAACAATATTGCTACATCATCGTATTGGGTTATCTTAATTCTAGATGTCAACAATTTCGTTATCTCTGACCACGCAAACAAACTTGATAATTATAACTACTAGCGGCTTCATCCGCATGAAATTATAAAAACTTTATTTTATTGTTTACATTTGTCAAAGTCTCAATTGCAAATGTCAAAATTAATTTGTCATTAATGTTTTCAGCTTATAGTTTATGGTCCCTTTCCCATGTGATGGTATTTTTCAATTTATTTACCCCTAAGTTTAGTAGCGTGAAAATATATAGCCTAAAGCGTGACGTAAGTGTAGGGCTTTTTATTAACGAAATAATGATTCAAAAAATGTTGTGATTGCTGACATCCTACGCCACGAAGTGGTGTGTGTTTACGCTTTATGATATAAGGAAATATAAAGATAGATAACACTTTGGAATCACGTAAAAGCGGTTATTGTGAGAAAACCGTGATAGATAAAAAACAAATGACTTTTTTCCTTTTGTTTAAATCTACAATACCCTTCTATGTTATTTTTATGTAACTAATGATAATGACTACGTAAGGAATAAAGACTAAAAATGTTTTAGTTTGTACGTGCAGCAACGAGATCAAATTGTCGATGTTTACATACAAAAGCTATAACTGTTAAAATTTGTCTAATACACGAGAAGTAGAGACATTTAAAAGCAAAAAGTTAGTATGAGTATGTTATGGGGAGGGGAGAATCAAACGATTTCTCCTTAACTTTAAAAATGAAATGGATAGTACGGATAGAAAAGATGGATGATGCAAGAAAGATGGCATGATCAAGAAGGGAGTGACAAAAATGGAAGGTATATTGACCTAGAGGATAATTGGACCTATAGGATTGTCTGTAAATAAAGCTTCTTAAACCATAGAGGACGAAAATCTGTACTTAGTGAGTGGATTATGAACAGGACGGTGATGAAATTTGTAACAATATAAGATGGTTTCATCAATTGTGTAATTATTTTTGTGATTGCACCTCACGCTGTTCAGGTCGACTCGTTTGTTTTTGATAAAATTTTGACAGTCATACTTTGTGGTATTTAATTTTTATCATGTGACTTGTTAGGTCATCTGATGATGTTATCGAAGCGAACTAAATAAATATACCTATAATTTCTAAAAATTTGATCGCGTCGTTGTAAGCACTGCATTCCAGATTATGAAGGCATTAATATTTACATCAGGTTCTTCTAGCTTAACTTGACTTTTAACGTTAATTCATTTTCGATTACAACTTAACATCTGTCAACTTAGTATCGATATAATAATAGCGTGAGTAATGTCATACAATTTTATTTAATAGTTATATAGGAGTGGGTGACAGCGGTCATCCCTAAATATGTGCAACAAATTGAAAGGTTGCGCTGTCTACTTTAAATGTCAAGAGAATTTGACGAACAAGTAGAGGATATTTTCCTTCCATTCTTCTCTTCAAAACTAGAGATATTTAATAAGTAGACAATGATGCGAATTTTCGTCATTTTCTTTTTTACTTTTAATAACTACGGTTACGGACGTGATCATTGCAATGATTTCTTCAATCACGTGCCGAGCCGCGATAATATTGGTACGTCATGAATAATTCACTAACAAAATGTAAGTGATATCATTTGTTTAATCTACAATTTCCTGGTTCAGCTGTGAATGACTTGACTAGAAATAAACATTAATTTTAATAACAGACCGACCAGTTTGGAAAAATTAAGGTTATTAAGAAAGCACGCATGCGTATATATGAATAAGTGGCGAGAGAAACGCGTGGAAAGTGCCAAATGGAAATCCGAAATCTAACACGTTCGCAAATAAAGTGTAATTATTTGAATAGTGTTGACATGTCTGTGCCAAATTGAGTCATTAGAATGTCGTTGGTGCTGCTTTAACGAAGAGATGTCACGTCCCAACACTTCACCTATGCAGTTAGATGAATAATGCAATGCGCCTGCCGAAATGTTTGTGAATGAATTTTATATTTAATAGTGCATATAGTGTGCTCAAAAGGTGGCTGTCATTTGTAACTTACGAGGGGAATTTTGTATATGTTTATAGTAGAAGAAAACGATTAAATATATGTTACTGCATGCTTCGATTACTAAAGAATCTGTACTGTTGAATTATAATAAAGTTTCTTTGGTATTTTTAATACTATTTCGTGTCATAAACAGGAATTAGTTTTTTTATAAACAGAAACAATCACGTGGGCATTAAAACAATGGATTGAAAGAGGTAAAGAACGTTAGTTATGAGTGTGTATACCTGTAGAGGTAGACCTAGAAAGAGATCTAGGATTGCGTGAAAGGTGACATGATCAAGAAGGGAGTGATGACTGATGATGAATGATGACGGATGATAGAGTTATGTGGAAGACAAAAACCTGTTGCGCCAACCCTACGGGAGAAGAATAAGTAGGTAGATGATGAAAGTGGTAAAGAATTAAGGGATGAATTTGCCAGCGAAGAATTTGTCTTTTGTTAAATTTGTTTATCGAATTGTAAACAATGAATAAAAATGTTATCGTTGACAAAAAAAGGAAATAGAATAACAAAGTGCATACTCATAGCATTCCGAGCGAGTATTTGCTGTATGTTGAATGTTGAAATAAAAAAAGTCAAAAAGATCCACTCTTGCCACATATCACTTTGCGTTTGATATGTATCCTATGAATAATTCATTTACAGTACGTTTGAGCCAGTAACAGATATTATACGAGAATACACAAGAATCGACATCTCAAAGGGTCGATTTGGAATCGTAATATCACGTTTGAGCCTAAGCTTGGGTTATTTTTATAGCGAAAATGTTACCACGTGCAAACTATTACGAGGGGAAGTGTTAACACAAGATAAGAATTTTACATTTAATATCTAAACCAAGAAACAAGGATTACAAAGATATTGTCAAATAACTCCAAATTTCTAGACCTTTAAAACAGCATAAAGGTAAAGTTTTTGTAAAATAAACAAATGACTAATGCTCGGATAGTGTGAGAGTCTGCTAGTTTTTTTTTACATTTTTAAAATCTACAAGAAACATTTCATTTGTGTATATCATCAAGTTATCTATGACACATTCATTAACCGAGTCTGGTCTATATGTATCCAGATATGTCCAAACTTTATCCTAACACAGCGCTAGTTTTGTTCGGTTCTCGCAGTTCATGTTAGTTTGCGTTCGAACGTACCTTGTTAAGGTTGGATGATGCTTGAAAGTTATACGTTTGTTGCGTAGTTTTGAAGCCTATATAATACATATACAGTCAGATAATAATTCGAATGTGAACGAATTTCTTGGAATTTCTAAGACTAGTGTGAGACTAGAGCGCTTTCAAGTTATTGAACTCTACTTTTACTGTATTAATAAATATACCAATATCAATGATTCAACAGCTATTGTACCGCAGTAAGTTTCAAGCCGCAAGCCGCATGCTAAGCCAAGCGATAACTGATCGTTTCGCAAGTAAACACACAAACAAACAGATCTAAAAAGTTAACATGATAATCGTATAGCACAAACTGGTGTGTTGGTACAATTTTCTCTATCTTATCTGTTCTGTCTTTGTTTTGTCTTGTATCTTTCCGCTTCGTTTAAAGACGTTAATGTTTCTAAGTCTCTTACGCCTTCTTCGTACCAGGCTAGCAATTTAGACGAGTAGATTAGTAAATCATAAAGATTTTAGTAAGATTTAAGGTAATAAATTGCTCGGTTCTCGACTAAATTACTAGCTTAATGTAAATCTAATGCCTGGCATTAGATAATACCGCTCATGAATACTATATAAGTAATAAAAAAAATATCTGAATGCAACCATTCAAAATAAAACACGTGTAAAAGCAATTTTTGGTATCAAACTTCGATAACTTTCTTAATTTTTACCCATGTATCCTTAAGATCTTGTATCTTTTATTTTCGAAACTAATAACAAAGCACAAAGTAAACAGGGTAAATGTATTTTAAACTACGTAATTTTTCTATTAGGCTGTACGTAGAAATTTAGGTCATAATCCACCGAGATCCATATAACCTAGATCTAAAATTACAAGAGGAATAGTTTTAAAATTCAGACAAGACATTGGTGAAAGACGTAAGCCAGGTTAACGACAGAGAACGCCATAAAGCAAGCAGTAAAGTCGCAGTTAAAATAGAAAATGGTTGCGCCGTACATAGTGACAGGTAAGTATTTTTATTATGTACAAACACCTTTATTACCTCATGGATTTAAATCGTGTTTTATAAATTCCTGTTTGTAGAAATGAACAGTTTAAATTTTGGTTCAAAGCAAACTTACAAACAAGCAGGAAGTTCTATACAAAATATTTAAGAAACCAACACTATTATGTCTGTACAAACATTATGTGTTGCTTGAAATGTTTCCGTTTATGAAACTAACAAATGACAGTTAATCTTCAATGTGTCTTCCTATACGGACATTGTTTTAAGAATGTATTTTTAAAAATCGAATCAACGCTTATTAAAACGTATCTGGATTTAATAATGTTTTAATTTGAATTGCTGCCCATTGCAATACCAAAATATTGTAACAAAATGAGTTGTAATTTACGAAGTATACTCATGTCAGTGCTTTTATTAAATGTTAAAGGTAAGTATGTATATTCATACCATAATATTATCTGTAAATGATATCTAAGTATTAAAAATAGATAATTCAGTTTCAGATGCTTTTAGTCAGTATGTATCTGTGATTAGAAAACCGAATACGTCCAATTCATGCGACTTCAAACATCACATCGGTCTTGTGGAACATTTTTTTAATCTTATTTTCACCGAGTTTCATAAAAATCCACCCGTTTGCGTTTGTGTACAAATGTGTCCAGAACATTCGATGTATTGCTACCCGAGTGGTTGTATGAAAACGAACGACATGCGGAAAAAGTATTCAAATGCTCCGATAGTACTTCCTCCAACTCGTACAGAATTCAATGATACAGTGAAATCTTCTTACCTCGTTGATAACGGCGAAGAACAAACTAAGAATAATTATATTGATGATTTTCTAGATGGAAATCTTGGAATAAAAAAAGGTAAGGTAGTTCTCAATGATTTTATTCCATCAAGTATGTTTTAATATTGGTTTTTACAGCTTTAACGTTGTTGTTACAGCTATAGGTGAAGACGACGTTATTAAAAATGAAATGTTCAAAACAAATCCTCTTAAAGATCGATATAAGATGGTATTTAAATATAAGAGAATACCTAAAGTTGAAATGAGATATAATTTAAGAGAACAAGTGAAAAATGTTAAAACTGATAAGCAAAAACATGAAAACTATGATATGTCAAATCAAAGATGGCCGAAAGGGAAACATTGGATACATAGTAGACAATTAGTTGAGAGTATTCCACCGCTCAAAATTGATGAAAATAGAGCTAAAAAATATTACATGTTCACTGAAAACGATCCTACAAAGTATACTTCTCCGAAATATTTTAAAAGAGATGCTTCAAAGTTTACGAATGAAGAAGCAATTAATGTTGAAACTTTATATATTTATCAAACTGACACTGATAGTCCAAACATGTCCGTGGAGTCCGTGATAGATAATTTAATAGAGAGTAGTTTCGAAGGGCTTACAAATCTAGTGAGTATGGAGGCAAATAACACTTTAAATCAATCAGTGGATGAAAAAACATCAACAGATTCAAGTTTCTATCGAGCTAAAAATGCAGTTTTTAAAAATGGAACATATGTTAATACGACAGAGTTCAGGGATTCTCTGAAATTTTATTTTACAACTACTTCTCCTCCATTGGATGAAACAACAATACAAAATGATAATGTTGACGATCCCAATATTATTCTACAAAGCAAAGCTAACTTTTTAGACGTCATCGCAAAAATGTCTAATAAAATAGAACAACAAAATAATGCGTCAATTGAAATAATTAACAGAATGACTGGACATAATAATTTAAAACATTTTACACCCAGGTTAAGATATATTGAAGAAAAAAATAAACAAAACGTAAGTAAAGTCACCAAAGATATTAAAAAATCTACAGAAACACCAAGTGTTAAAAGAGATATAACAATACTGGCCTTAAATAGTTCACTAGAAGAAAAAGGAAAGAAAAACAATAGTGATAATGTGTAACATAATTGATTAGATTCTTAATAAAATATTTATCATATAGAAGAAACCAAAATCGTCTTTTTCTTTTACAGAATTAGAGTTTCCTTCTTAGTAAATTATCTTAAAAATATACTAAGAAAACTACTTAAAAATCAGACCTAAATGTTGATGACTTAGTATAGGACATTAACCTGAGAATAAATCACGTGAATAAAAAAACACATTATATTTACATTTCATTACTAGAGCACTAAATCTAACATTAGTAATATAGGAAGTGCATACGGTTGAGCGACTATGAATTACTGAAGCGACAAATTCCAAACTCTATAATTTTCACGCTAATTACCCCAATTTAATAGCTACGTTCAATAGCGTTAACTTTGACTTGTAATAAAAGTTTGTATTTCCCCTAAATATTATGTAATAATTCGTACGGTCTAAGTTAAACTAAACTTCGCAGAAGAAGTCCATAAATTAGTGCTGCATGTATTGTCTCCCTCGTGTTGGAACATTCCAAATATCTTTAAAGGTAATTTTGGTATAATGTTTAGGTTTTTGTTATTGTGATAAGTTGAATTAAATTTTGCGTAATATTAATTTTTCAAATCAGATTAACACTAACCGAGGACACTAGTAAAGGGATTTAAAATGTTTTCCACAATATTATAAAATATATGATACAGCAGATACTGGAAGAAGAAGCAGTAAATAGCAATTCTAATTTAGATTATACCGAGAACTTAAGTCTTACGGCATTTATGTCATATAACTAGAAGAACAGTTTATAATGATTAGAGTATAAAGCAAGGAAACAATAGACTTCTAAAAAGATAACAATGAATAATAATATCATATAAAGATAATAGGTTTTCATAAAATTTCAAACGCTTTCATTAGCAGGCGAGAGGCGCGCGGCGCAGCTTGCGTTAATGTCTTCATCCTATAACTATCTTAGTCTAATTTATTGCGTTTTCGAGTTCAGCAAACCTAAAACTAGCTGCAAATTTTTTAGTATTTCATACTTTTGCATAAACGCTGTAAATCACATAGTCTGGAATAAGAACAGACATGATGCCTTTGTTATCTAATCTATGTTTAAAGCAGTAAAAGTTCTGCATAAAAACTCATTACTCATTGCGTCCTACTGCAACGCCGGGGAAGACGCGCGCGACATCCGTCTTGACTGTTTTCTCTTGTCTTTCATTATTTTCAATGTCGTTGTATTCTTCTATTTTACCGATCGATCGACCAATGTTAAGCGTGGTCTCGCATGCAATTGTAGGTTTGAACTTGAAAGATATTTTGCGCTTCAATCCGCTTACGGCAACACATACTTAATTATTCCTTATCTGACATTGTAACTATTTGCCATTAAATCATTAAACTACTAGGCAATCATTTATTTATCTATAGTATAACCATTATCCTCTATCACCAGTAGAGGTGTACGTAGAACAAGATGGATGGATTGCGTGAAAGGTGACATGATCAAGAAGGGTGTGATGACTGAGATGACGTATGATAGTTATTTGTAGGATGAAAACCCGGTGTTCCAATACGGGAGTAGGATTAGGTAAATCATGATAATAAATAGAAGCATTATTAATTAGTTATAACAAATTATATTCACTAACGACTATTATCAAAGTTTCAGCGTAACATTTCCAATCATCCGAACATATATTAAATTGTTGGATTCCACGAACTAGGCAAGTTTTGACGATATTATTAAAGTAAATTTTCAGCACACAACATCGCTTGCTAAGTTTGTTCCACCGGATATTAAGTCGTAGAACGTGCTAAAACATGATAATGTGAATGTTGGTTAAACATCAATATTAATATAATTAAAACATAAATTACAAATATATTTTCACGAATTATTAACAATAATACAACTTACAAAACTGTTTTTTTTTTTAAATAACTAATCCAGGGCTTGACCACGACTCCACCTAAGCTGAGTAAAGACGCGGCCGAAGGTTTATTCCAGACATGAATATCGTAAAAGAACTTTACGAAGAAAATTGTCAAAAGGTAGTTATTTAAAATACATTTTAATCGATGCTTGAGACATTGACTTATATTATTGTCTTTTTAGCCGAAGATAAAAAAATACTTCCAAAGCACTATGGTGATCATTGTAAAGTCGGCTGTTGGCCGGTGTCACGAGGTGTAACGTTACGAGGTTACATTTCCATCGAGCAGTTCAATGCTTGCTGGTTCCCCGTAACTACGTATTGTAGCATAAATGTTCGCCGCGTAACATGTTACATTACACCTTACAACGTCGGTCAGTAACCTTAAGGTGATAATTACCTAATTGAGATTTACACTGCCGTCATAGCTCCACCACAGCCTTAGTTGTGGTAAATTCAACTAAATTTATATTCACTATTCTAAGCTGTTCTTACTTTAACTGATAACTCCTTAAATGTAGGGAATAAATTGCTACAAGAGGCGTTCAAAGACGATAACTTGACTCTGATTGATCGTTTATAGCTATAAATTCTATTTACTCTACAATGATAATTAACTAAATTAATTAACAATTTTCTAGTTAAGGCGTGTTAAGAAACGGAGGCGGGGTGAATTGAAACGATCGGTGTATGCTTACGAAGTGAAAAAGATATTTTTGTCTGTTTATATTTTTATAAATTGACATATCAAAAAAGGATTTTGCCAAAATCAAAACTTGAAAAGTATAAAAACTGTTGGATTCCTTGTACATACAAGTTCGTTTTCAATAGCGTCGGTTACGTCACCTTAAACAAGATCAGTGCTTACAAAACTCCAGAACATTTTTTAACGACTTCGAAAAGGGTAGTTCCCAATTTGGCTGTATTTTTATGTGTGTTAACATATCTTCGTACCTGGTAGACCAATTTTGCTAATGCTTTTTTGACCGACTACCCAAAAGAAGGAGGTACTCAATTCGTCTGTATGTTTTTTTTTATGTGTTACGGTATAACTCCGCCGCTAGTGGACCGATTTTGATAATTCTTTTTTTATCCAAAAGGTAATGCTTGCAGGTGGGTCCCATTTTTTTGTTTGATTTTTGTTGTAAAAACTCAAACGTAGTTTTCGAGTTACCGTTCAAAATGCGTGACAAAAAAGGTCTGTTTTGCTTTCTTGGCTTCTACGATATTGTCATCTTTCATAGGGGAATTCTAAAGATGTAAATATTTTTATCCGTAATTGGTAACCACAGTAATTTGAATATAATCATCTTTTTCATCAATGATTATTAATTAGATAAAAAGATAATATATTATAAGTGCGGTTCACAACAATTTTAATCGTCATCATGTGATTGATTTTTTTTTAATGTTATCAACAATTTGTTCAAGTTATCAATCTAGGAAAACTATAACTTTTTGCATGTAATGGAAGAGTAACACAATGTTTTTATTTTACTATACATTCTTAGATTTTAGTGTTTATTTCATTCTTGCTTATTTATATCTTCTTTTATTTTATTTAGTGTTGCTTCTTTTTCTACTAACTTTCGCACGGACTCCCTCTGCGTAGAATTAAAAAAAAAAACAAAAGTAAGTATCCTATGCGTTCTTCCAGAATATCCTCTACATCTATACCAAATTTCATAGAAATCCATTCAGACATTTAGGCTACAAACTCTAACAAACATCCATCCATCTAAACTTTCGCATTAATATAAAAAAAAATAACATGTAAAGTATAAATTTAATAATCGTGTTTAATATAATAAATTTACATCAATAACAATATATTGCTGTTACTTTACTTACTATGTATGGTACTAATTT